CTTTCCTTCTTTTTTTCAGTATGCGAAAAGGCAATAGTTAAAAAAGGGTCTTAAGTTTTTTAATAAGAATCTGCTAGAGATTTAATCAAAATAAAGTTACATCATTTTTTTATGGGTGTATATGTTATCTAAATCAGATACTTCTTAACGTGACACTATAAATTAACGATGCAAAACGTGATTTAGAATTTGTTTTTCATGCATCTCTTAGTAGAAAAATATTGCGCTATATGAGATTTTTTATACTAGATATTGGTTATTTACTTGTGTAATCAAGTAAACTACCATTCAAAACTTTTAATTGACGTATATTATGCACAACTGGACCCATAGTTACGCCAGATACGTAACAAAAGACGTGGATGTGGTGGAGGAAAAGCATCATATCCATACATACACGCTGATTGATCGTTGACTAATTCATAGTATATTGTTCAAAACTGATAGTGAGTTGTGTTTGCAATGGACTCAATGAAGAGTTGCCAACTGAATTGTAAGTAAACTTTGTCAAACTTGTTTAAGCCACAATTTCGTTTTTTTCGTACTTCCAACAATTCACCTGTTAAAGCCAGAGGAAAGTAAAAATACTAAAAGACCGAAGTCCTGTGCATATTTGATGTGTACGGCCCTGAAGTTTGTGATGTTGACTTGTTGTTCATACGCAATAATTGTGCATCACCTTTTCATTTACTCGATTTTATCGCCCAACCGTCTAATTGTATGTTATAGAGCTAATATCCATCAAACAATCTGGTGCTTTGATCTTGAATGCATAGTTTTTTCAATATAATTAGGTTCGTCAAGGTAATTCATCGTTGATGCTTGAAGGACAAACCAAAGAATATGAGGAAAAATAAAAATAATTCACTATTAGTCAACAACTCTTTGATCAAAAATTGATATCAGTATGTAGTCTCAAGCAGCTAAGAGAATAAAGCTCTTGTAAATTCGAATTCGACTATTTTGAGTAGTTTAAATGACGGATGAATAAGTATTATTCACTAAAATGAGACACTTCATGGGCACGATAAATTAAAAGCTCGTATATTTTCTTTTGATCGTACATTCATACTAGACTATTTATTGACCTTCGAAGGAATATATGGTTGCTTATCTAAATGAATACACATATAAAAATAACTGATATAGACGTTGTGATAATCATTGAGATACAACAGAAAGTACGAAGCCATTAGAATTTATTAAGAGAAATTGATACTTGGTCTATACGAACAAAAGAAGTTGTAAACATGGTAGTTCAGTCAAGTACGTTGAATAGAAATAGAAATTTCTTATTTATTCTTGTTCAATCAAAATAGATCGTTACCTTCGCCGTTATCAGAAAGCGGCTGAAACATTTCCACGTCTGACTCTTCGGCGGCTTCGTGCTGCATTTGTTCGCCAGACAACGCAACTGCTTGAATGCCAGAATTCAACAGTTAATATAAAAGGCGTCGAATATACATTGAACAAGCTTCTCGGTCATGGTGGTCAAGGTATGTGTTCTATTCCCTCGTTAACAGCTTGACTTCAGTTTCTCATAACATTCAGTAATTCTCGAAAAACTGTCCACTGACAACTTAACTCGACCTGTGTAGGAATCCCTTCGTGAACGTTATAATTATATGCAGAAATTCTTTCCAAGCCATTTTCAGGATCTAAAATATTGTCTGATCCCTAAGGACAATACGTAATGCTCTAATATGTTGAACTTTAATATGATCCAAGACAATTTTTCCTTTTTTAAATTTAAATCGAACAAAAAATCTTTCTCCGATTGGTACAAACCTGGTTGAATTATTGTGTCGTGAAAAATCTATTGATTTGCAAAGCAGTATTTCTGTCATTTGATGTACGAATGATCATGTGAATCTCTATCGAACTGATTAATGCGTTGCAGGAGCTGTTTACGCAGCGACCACATCGGACGGGGAGCAGTTCGCTATTAAAATGTTCGTCTGGGAGGAAAGTACATTGACAAGAATGCGTCTCCTCCATCCAAGTGCCGATTCTTTTCTAAAGGAATTAGAATTTATGATAAAACTGAAGCCAAGATCAAGAGAGTTTGTCGAATTTTACGATGTCGGCGTTGAAAAACTCATGGGACTAGGTATGCCAATTTGAGCTGGAATGATTGAAAAGATCTTGACTACATGTTTAGTACTTGGCTTCATTGTTATGGAACTTGGGACGGGCGATCTAAGCAGTATGATTCAAAAGATGGCTGAAAGAAAGGCACAGAACGCTTCCATACGACATGGTAACAGCTACACTCACACTCGCGACCGAAAATTCGTTTGGCGACAATTGGTTGCCTGCATCACAACTCTGCACAAAAATAATATTGTCAATACAGATTTGAAGCCTGGTAACTTTATTACATTTGGCAATAAGATCAAGTTATCAGATCTCGGTGCAGCCTATCAGATGGGTAAAGCAAGGTGAAGTTCTTCAGATAAATGCAACGAAGCAGATGAATACTCTCTCTTGAGAAAATAAAAAAAATTGAACTCATTTAACATAGCCTATTAACATTGGCCATTATAAATAATCTTTAAAAAAATATACAGAAGAAAAAGGAAGTCTATATAAAACGTTAATAATAGCTTTTCTCTATTACAAATCTATTGTTGAGAGAAGAGTTGTTGTGTCCTAGAATGTACACAATGACATTTTAGTTTCAACAAGGGCCACCATTAAAGAAATCCATTTTATGTATTGAAACAATCTGATTTGTTTCAACAAGAAGAATCTCAATGCTATAAATAGAGAAATTGTGAACAAGTAAAACCACAATTTATCTATTTTTTGTGAGTCTGTTTTCCTGCTATTCAAGAATATTTTGACATAGAATCATGAAATATTGTATAATACGAAGAAGTCTAATGCTCAGCATCAATCGTCACAAATAGTTCGGTGCATGTGGAAGGTTTTCCATTTTTTTGCCTCATGGCTATGTCTAATAATATTTCAAATATCACCATACTTATAAAACAGTAACTTTTTTCTCTAAGAAATTTATACTACCTACAACAAGATAATTGGGCTCTTCTTAGTCGCCTCAGGATGGTTTGCATTGTCTTACTAGAAAATACTCAATTAGTCGTCTTTTTCTCGTTGATGGTGACTTTCTTCAGAATAAAAGACGTTTTTTCATTTTTTTAGACAACGGTACAGGAGTTTCGGGACCATAGGCTTCAGGTAAAAAGTATTCATTCATTTTTTTTGTTTCAAATGATTTTTCAATTTTTTCTTTTTTCAGTGCCCCGGAAGTGTTGTATCCAGATAAGTATTCATATAGGGGTAGCCTGGTTTCTCGAAAAGCGGATATTTGGTCTTTGGGTGCTATTCTCTACTTCATGACCTATGGAAAGCTGCCGCGATTGACCAATGAATATGAAACTGAATACTCTGATGCCTCTGCTCCACCACCTGGAAAGCACGTCACAAACGACCCTTACTTACGAGATCTTCTTTGTCGAACATTGCAAATGAATCCTAAAAATCGGCCGACTATATTCCAATTGCAACAGCACATATATACTCGCTGCTGAGCCTGAATCTCAGTGAAAATTCCAAACAGATTGTCGCTCTTCCTTGCTTCTGTTTTTAATCTCGAACTTGATGTTGCTATTCAAGTTCATTTTCGAATCTAAATTTAACATATGCATAGCTTATTATTTAATTAATACAATAAATAAAAAAATCTTGTTTTTACATCTCAAAATTAAAGATTAAATAAATTATTATTTTCAGTATATTTTAGAATAGATTAAGAAAAGTCTTCCTTCGTTCAACGTCTACCTAAAGTATACATATTACAGTAAGATCGTACGTTGATATCAATCTATTTAGAGAAGAATTCATCATCAATACAAAACGACAACCATCAAACTAACGAATATTCAACAAAGTATGATATGTACTAGAAATACATAAGAGAATAAAAATTGAGCAGTCGACCGATTCATCTTAATTAAAATGTCGAGTGTTGCGAGAGATAAATGTCAAAATCTTGAACAAAGTCGTCGACACATCCTTGTCAACTTGAATCACTTTTCGCTATTCGTCACTGTTAGTCTTTAGTATATGTTAAAGAGTTGTCGTGATGCATCATGTCGGAACGAAAATACCTTTCAATCGGAATCGAATAAATAGCTAAGATCAATGTTCTAGGAGCTATGGCAAGAAAAGCCTTGGTGGAACGATTCTAGGTGTAGTGGCGAGATGAGTAGCTACTTGAGGTTAGGTGAGTGAGGGTGAGAGTCTGCTATTTACCATTACCCACTCACAACAACTATTTTTGACTAATATTAGGATTCAGTGATAAAAAGTAACGAAAATGCTCTCAAATATGTGTAAATAGATTTAGCTATAACAGGATGTGAGTGTAGTCAATTTCATAATCAAATACTTTTTATTAATAACCGTTCAATTATTTTGAAAAATTTCAAAATGGTTCACTTTATGAATTAATTCATCATTTAAAATATTTGAATATTTTCCCACAGTACAAAGTTATTAAGATTCCAAGAGGAAGGTTCTCGTCGTTAGAAACGTTTCAATAACACTTGCCACTATTTTATTTCCTATTTATCCAATAGTTTTTCGAATAATGAATATATCTTACATTTCATTCTTATTAATATTATTTTTTCCATTTTTCTCTCTTGAAATTCTATCTTCCAAGATATTTTCGATCTCTATTTTTCGTTTTGCCTTATTGTATTCGGTATAATACTTGTATGTCTATATAGCACATGAGGCTTTTCATAGATTAAGCATCTTTTAGAAAGCAAATAGAAAATTTCTTCATACCATAAATAGATTTAATTCTTTTCAATTGCTTAAATTAAAACACGATTTGATTTTGTTTTTGTTCGATAAAATGTTATTATTAAACTTTGTCCTATTATCATGAGATATAAATGCTATTGCATATAATAATAATAAAAAACAAAACAAGAAAAAAACACTAGAGAAAATTCAATAAAAATAATTTAAACAATTAAACGACGTTCTTGTTCATTTCCAATATTTAAATGTTTTGAATTCATACCTTCATTATTAATATGAATTGATGAATTTGTCAGAACATTTATTGTAGAAGTTTTAGGTAAATTAACAACAGGATTTGTTGAATATAAATAAACAGCAGTTGAAACAATAAATATCGCAATAAATGTATATATACTAACAGGTATAGAAAAAATTATCCAAGCAAGTATACTTGTAAAAAGTAATTCTAAAGCACTGGCAAATGTTTTTAATATAGACGTCATTGATTTAAGAAATAATGATGTTACAATTCCAACAGCAGCATTATTAAGTATAATTAATAATATAAGATATTGTTCTCCTGATAGAATTAAATTTAATGTATTAAAAAATTTATCAATAGCTGATAATGTTGGTTGTTGATAATCAAAATAAATTAATAATATTAAATTGCATATAATTGAGTCAATATACATAAAAGTATTTTGTAACATTGTATCAACTTGATTTGTTCGATCACTTTTAAGTAAATATTCATTATAAACACCAGCAAAACAAGAACAAAATACTTGAACAAGAATCCATATGAGATGTATATTAACTAATGAAGGTGTGGTCGAAATAGTTTGTTTATTTAATTGAGATATTGTTGAATTTGTATTCGAGATTTTGATAGATGATGAAGATAATGATGAATGTTCGAATTGTTTTATAATGCAACCCGATGTGAGAAGAAAAAGTGATAACCATTGAAGACGTGTTAAACGTTTATTGAAAAGAAACTAAATTAAAAGAAATGAAGTAGTGGAAGACATGATAAAATTGAATAGTATTTACTTGAAATATAACTCCTGTTACAACAACACGAAATTGAAGAAGTAAAAAATATGTTGTTGGATCATAAGATGATAAATTTATAAATGATAAATTATTATATAAACAATATAATGCCGATGGAATAAAATAAAGAATTAATACTAAAGAAAAATAATTTTTAATAAATATATTTCAATAATAAATATGATTAAATTAATTTTATTATAAATAAAGTTAGATTTTTCTCGACATTAGAAGCGTAAGCCGATGCATTGATCGACGGCGGCAGCTCAACCAGTTGGCTTATACGTCTACATGAAATATGTAAGTTGCGATGGATATATGTTAATTGTATAGTGTATACAGAAACTGAGTCTCAACAAATAATGGTAAACGTGAAGAGTACATCATTATTGACAGATGAACCTGAAAATGATTGAACACACACCTCCTCCTTCTCTCAAGTCCTGACTAATATATAGAAACATCGAAGGGTGCATTTGCTGTTTATCAAATGTAAATTTAAATTATAAAGTAACATAATGATTTAGTACTTTAAATTTCTATTTTAACACTAAATAAATACTAAATATGAAATTTTCAAATGATTTGATACATTCAAATATAACTAGCAAGTTCATAGCATACTGATTAGTACATGCTGATTATGATTTTTAAATGAAGATCTAAGTATAGTCTTGAACTAACCATTTACCATGTCTTTATTGAAGAATATAAACATTAAATTATTTGAAGTTAAAGTTATTTGCTTAAAAAAAAAGAATCTTTTAAAATATTCAATTTGTTAGATAAATATTTAGCAAGATGAATAAATAATCATTACATGCCCTCGCCCGAGTTGTTTCATATATTATAAATATTAATGAATTACCTACATATTCGTTCCTTCTTGATGAAATTATGAAAAATTCGATATAGCTTATATCGTTTCTACATATACTTTCAAAAAAACAATTTTTTTTAAACTCGATTTACAAATTAAATAATCTTACTTGTCGTCTGTTATTACCTCTTTGATTATCGAAAATTTCTTTTCTCATCTGGCTGAATGAATGACTAGAAAATAAAATAAAAAGAAATTCATAATTTTAATTAATCTTCTCAAATAAATAATTACGTTTGTCGATAAATCGTTAGGGCAATTATTAGTTTGACAAATTCTGTAAGTAAAACAACAACAATTGTATTATAATTGTATGAATGCGTTGCTGTTTTTGATCCAGTAATTAATAAACCTATTGAAAAGAATATTTTAACAATAAATATTAGATTATATATACAGAGTGTCTCAAAATATCATGCGGAAAATTTATGAGAATACTGCTTATACAGTTACAAGTCGAATTTTGACGACTACAACCACCAAGTATAGAAATTACATTGAATGCTATTGCGAAATCAGTACAGTAGTAAATGGATAAAGTTCATGGTGGCTGTAAAAGTATACTGAAATCGAATGTTCGGGTTGTTGCAACAACTTGCTGGCCTCATTTCATGAATAGTTTCAAGCCAAATTATGACTTAATAGTTTCCGATGAAGCCACACAGTATGCAATTTGTCTAACAACTTTATGAAGAAGATTCACAAGATCGAGTCTAACTTCTCAAATTTTGATATACATGTTGGAAAATATCAATAATCAGAAGAATTCTATTTTTCATTTAAAATGGCTTATCGGTGAATATAAAGTGAAAATCTATGTGTATCACATGTATATAGACATTTGTTATAACTAAATTATATGAGAGTAAACTTAAAACAATATACTATCATATTATAAAAAGGCAAGTAAATAGCTTGAACTGTTTAAGCATTTATTCATGTTAATTTTCCGCAAGAACTTTGCTAACATCCTCTATATATAGTAGATAGAAAAATTATTCAATAACGTTTATTTTCAATTTTTTTTCCATTACGATAATCACTAGAAAAAATTCAAATAGAAAATATTGTTTTCAAAATTGATATAAGAACATAAAAATCATTATCAGGTTTGTAAAGACAGGGACTCTAGAAAACTTTATATTTCAACAAAATGAGTAGTGTGAACAAAATTATATTTATGCGCTCTAAGTATTGAAAACCTACAGTTTGGGTTTTCTTTAGTCTCTTTAGATTCTTTCTAACATTTACTACAGCGAATAAAAATGGAAAATAAACCTTATTGAATAATTTTCCTATTCACTGTATATAACTTACCTTGATTTATAAATAAACCCATATATGAGATAAAAATAAGAAAACTCCATCGAGTTGGAAATAGATCTTTTAAATTAATTTGACGACGCAGAGAAGATAACATTGAAAGGATTATTTTTTGTTTTAAAGATTAAATATGAATATATCTGGAATAAAAATTAGAAAAAACAACAACTTTTTTTGATTTGAATGGATTATACGAATAAAGAAATATTTTAATCTATTTACAGAAGAACCATTTTTGCTGGCACTCACCGTTTGAACTTATATCAGATCTGGAAGAAAGTCTTAGTGAGACTAATGACAGTCTTTGACATTGAGCTATGACCAGTGTACTGAATTTTTGAACTATTTGTAGATATTTTCCAAAACATCCAATCATGTTAGTTCGCTCTAATGATTCTTAGAATATCTTGGATATTTCGACTGAAAAGAAGATTGCTTCTTTGTTGACGTAGGAACATTGCATTCGACTGAAATTTTCAAGATATTCTAAGAATCATTAGATATGTCTATGAGCAAGATTTTAGATCAAAGTTATATGATTTGATTTTTCGGAAAATATCTAAAAACTAGTCGAAAATCCAGTAAACCGTTTATAATTTGATGCCAAAGGCCCAGAAGGATGAACTCAAATGGCGAGTACCATTCGGAACAGTTGCCTTGTTAACAGAAAAAAGAATATGAATTGGTCGTTGGTACTTGATAAAATATAATAACAACAGCTGTGACACTGGAATGTCATTGATACTTGTTTTTATCTCAAGTGATTAAATATTTGATGAAAGACAAACAAAATTAACAAATTAAAATCAAAAGTCAATTAGGACGAAGTATTTTTATTTGTAGTTGTTGCCAATGGTAGTGAAAGTAAATCTAAAGCAATAAGGAAAACAAATTTATTTAATTAAAACTCGAAAACAATATGATTCTCATGAATCAATGATCTTTAAAATGTTTATTGAATTCCTTCAAATCGAATAATAGGATATTATTTTCGTATTACATTCTAATTAAGAGAATTGTCAATTTTTTCTGTAATATTTCTTTGAAAGCCTTTTAATTAAAAAAAAAAACATGATTATTTTTTGATAAAAGGCTATGAAGTTTTGCTTCGAAGAAAATAAAAAGTACCGTTAATGCCATCCAACAGATCTATGCAGTGTAAATTTGTAGAGTAAGAAAATTTATCATACGACGAAACTTTTTCAACTAATCCATCGTTTTTTTACTAAAAGCTACTAGAGTATGGGTTATCAATTATGCTAATTCCGAATAGGGACTATGAAAAATCTCCTTAGGTTTTTATATCTACTCATATTATAGATCATATCGAGTTGTCTAGAAGACAATAATCTTTTCTATTTTCTAAAACTGAATTTTAAATAATATAATAAAAAGCAAATATTTTACCGTAAACTTTGTTAATCTAACAAACCCGTATATGAACATCTCAAGGAATTTTCTATGATCATATTCAAAATCCGCATCGTCGATCATTAGTTTTTAGTGAAAAAGTGAATGATCAGTTAAAAGTGTTATCTGGTTAAATAGAGTACAGAACATGAAAAAAAAAGCTTTCCCTACATATCTCTACCATTCAACAATTGTTATATATATGCTGCATATAATACATGAGAATCGCATTCAAAAATTATTTTAATTGTAGATATGTCTCTCTTATTCATCTCTATTGTATGCGTTAAAATATACTATGACCGATTATTTTATAAAGTTCGTTAATATATTGGAGACATTCTGCGCCTATTGTGCGACATATGTTACGAACGTTCTTGTTTTTGCTAGGGTAACAAAAAGTTTGTTATTCGAAATTTTTCTTCGAATAAAAGAATAAAGCAAAAATTGATATCATCAATTTATATATTTTTTTTTGTCTAAAAAAAAAAATATTTGATTATTTACTTGCAGCTTCATTAACTTCTTCTTGAATTAAATCAAATTCTTCTTTTTCCTTATTCATTTGTTCTTGTTGTTCAAATTGAAGATCACTTAGATCTTCAAGTATTTTAACACATGTATTAGTTACATGTTCGATTTTTTCTTCTTCATCATTCGTAAATAAAAGTTCATCTTGTTTTAATTCTATTACTGGTTCATTTGTTGTAATTGATGGTGAATTCGAGATGATATTAGTAGGTGTTTGTGGTTGTGGATTGACTATTTCTGGTTGTAATGTAGCTGTTTCAACATCCGGTAATAGAATTTTTTCACCTTTCTAAACTGTATCAACATAAATAAATGATTGCAAAAATAAATTAACATATAATTAACCTGAAAAAAATTTAAATAAGCATCATGTGTACGTAAATACAAATGTTGTAAAGCATAATTAAGAAAATGTTTAGTAGCAACACGTCTTTCTTCAACAATAACTGGATCAAAACGTTCTAAAAAACAAAGTATGTTTTTTCATGTATGGAGAATTCGTATTTTGTTTTTTTTTCTATATGAATGAATACCCATAAATCGTGGTTTATCTGGAAAATCAGGAAATTTACCAGGACGAAAAATAGCTTGATGATAACGATGAAGAATATCGTAAAATTTTCGAATATCATTATATCGTTTCCAATAAATTAGCTATACAAAATTAAATATTATTCATAAATAGTGGATTTATAGCATAGTCATCTATCTATCAGTTCTTGATTTTTTTTATTCAATCATAGAAACTATCTATTTGGAGTAATAAAGCATCACATTGACATAGTATATATCAACATCTGTCGTGATCTGTGAAGCGGAGGATTGCAAATTTCTACCCAATATACTTCAACACTTCTTTTGGGATTGTGCTGTATAGAAGCAGCCTTTTTAATGACGAGTTCGATTATTTTGAACTAATTTCATGCTAAAAGATTTATTGGAATCCATAATCAGTCAATAGTACTCCACGGCTGTTTTCAAATAATTTCTTATCTGTAAAAGATAGGAATCTGTATTTTTTGTTATGATGCTTTATCTCAGCAAGACTTTAGCAATAGAAATGGATGATTTCGATGATATTGACACGATCCTGAAAGTGATTATATGTCCAGCTTTATACAGATAAAATAATAGTACAGAATGTTCCAAAAGTCCGGTCAAATATAAATACACAACACCAACCTAACATTTTTGAAATCTTTGACAGATATCTTATAAAAAATGTTAACCTGCATCAGTTTAGCTGACTATGATATTCATGCAAATGAATTGCTTTTACTATTGTATTTGCTTGGAGAAATATTCTCCAGAAATTGACAGATTTCGCAGCTAAAACTTCATCTCTGTGAAATAATACAGAATTTATCGGGCATAATCTTCTTATTTCTTGACTAAAAAAACAAGCTTAAAGCATAGTCAAACGTTTTTCTCCATTACAACAAGCAAATAAAGAACTTCAATTAGTGTACAAGTCAGTCATATAATCTAGCAGAGTTTGACATTTTTGTAAAGATTTTTACATCGAATATATCTTCTTCATATAATAAAAAGCAAAATACTTGCTTACGAAAGAATCCAGATGTTGAAAAGTACAATATACAAGAAAGAAAAACGAAAGTGTAAGAATATACGTGTATGCGTACTCGAGCGAGATCATCACATATGAGAAAGAGGAGCAAACAATGCCAATGGAGAAATTTATTGTGCAATACGATATGATTGAATTTTCAATACTTTAAACCCTTTTTGTTTTTTTTTACATTCTGAATATTGTTATGATTTCTTTTTAGTTTTATTAATTGATACATACTTGATAACTATTTTCTGTTAGTTCTTTTGGTGTAACTTGTAATACAATTTTATAAATTGTATAACCACTCGGATGACGTTCTGTTTCTGGTACATCAAATGAACATAATTCATCGTCTTTTGTTAGTGATGCCATCAATCTTTTAGTCTGAAATATATATAATAGAAATTAAACAAATATGTCACATCATGGTAACGTAATAGGTAGGTAGATAAGCATGAAAATAAACTAATTTCTTAATGGTTATTGTAATCAACCAATTAAATTATTGAATTGTACCACATTGAGCTATATGAAAAGAAATCAAATAAAAAATTTTATTATTTAATATTTAGATCATTACATTTTAAAAATTTCTCTCTAAATTATTTCTTAAAATTTTTTGCATTGATTGTCACGACAACACTCATACAACTGATATATATATACTCATCGACCTCATTTTAAGTTGCTGATAAAATCTGCTTCTATATTAATGCAACGGCTACTATATCTTCGTAGTTTGTATTAATTTTAGTTAAAAAAATTCTTTTTTTTTTTATTCAAATTATTTGATATTCTATAGACGGTACATCTCGATTACATCGAGTTGTTGATTTATGTCATTCAAATTATAATTCTTTAACTTTTTCAAATATTAATATTTTATCAATAAAACGATGTTTGTCAAATATTAATAAAAATGAAAAAGACATCAATTTTAATACAGAACTTTTTAAACCATCAACAGCTAAGAAGGAAACACATGTACCAGATGAACTTAAAGGTGAACAACCAAAAGAAACAATTAATTCAATACCAAAAACTACAACAACATTATCTGGTAGTGGAAAAGTCTGGTAAATTAAATAATTATTCAATATTAAGCTTTAAAATGAACATATTTTATATAAAATTTCTCTGAAGGTCTGTTCAAAATGCCAGTTCAGTACATATCGTTCCATCAGATGCTGCTACAAGTACATTTGTTCCAACGTCAACTAAAGGTGGTCCTACAGTTCATGAAACAATAGTTCATACAAAACAAGGTGAATTAAATATTGATGATCCACTTCGAACTCATGTTTTACAATCGGAAACTACAACAGCTCAATTAGCTGAAGCTGCAGCTACTTCAGCTTTTGAACCGAATACACCATTAATAACAGATACAGTATTTGCACCGAAAATTTCTTCAACAGATCTTTATTCAAGTGCATCATCACCAACAGCACAATTTCAAAGTAGTATTCCATCAATAACTCCAGATACAACAGTATATGAAACTACAAATAAATCGAAAATATTCGGTGGTCAAGATACATCAGCATCAACAAAAACACATCCAACAGAAGATCCATTTGATACAAAGAAAATCAACAAGACAAGGCAAGAAATATTTCATACTTTATTAAAATAAAAATAAAACGAAGTCTTTGAATGACTTTTACAGTACTACCACTGAAATTCCTATTCAACGTGAAAGTGATTTACGTGATGATATATTGCGTGAATCATTAAAATATGTGGATGAACATGGCTGGACAATCGACGCTATTCGAGCCGGTTCGTTTTTATTTTATTTTGTTTTTTTTTGTTCTTAATTATACGTTAGCTTCCAAACTGAGATTGTGTATGTAGTCTCCGATTGAGCTAGACAAATGTTGGATCCGAGATTAGATATAAAATCTTAGTTTAGACACTAGCATATACAGGGTGACACATAACCTTTGCCCCCCCCTCTATAACGTAAAGTATCAATGATATCAAAAATGTATTTTATACCAAATTAAAGCGCGGTAAAAACTGAGTTTATTGGTACTAAATAGTAAAGATTGTGAAGGCCTTTTAATGTCAAACTTAAGTTTGCCATTAAAAGGCCTTCACAATCTTTACTATTTAGTACCAATAAACTCAGTTTTTAACGCGCTTTAATTTGGTATAAAATACATTTTTGATATCATTGATACTTTACGTTATAGAGTGAGAGGCAAAGGTTATGTGTCACCCGGTATATATATATATATATCGATTTGTAATTATTACAGGCATACGTGCTAATAATCAACCATCAACAATTGAAGGATTATTTGGTAATGGTTATGATCTTGTTGAATATTTCATGCGTGATGCAAATTCAAAAATGTCAGCTTATATGAAAGAACAAGGACAGAAGTAAGATAGGAACGAAAACAAATTATTAAAAAAATAAACTTGTTTTTTATTTCTAGAGGAAATATGCAAGGAATTCGTTTACTTATTGAAGGTCTTAAATATCGACTTGGTCTTGTTATACCTTATTCTAATACATGGAATCAGGTACCTCATATATTTTATCTAATAAGTAGATGATAGTTAATAGACGTTGTGCCTGTTTTCATTACTTACAGTAGTCGTCAAAAGTCTTGCTACCAAGTAAAAGTACTCTAAATTTGAGTTTTTTTGACTGATACTTTTAGTAGATGTAGAATTTGATAAATCCTGATTACAAGCACTAACTCGAAGTTGATTGCCCTTAATGCATTGAATTTAAACTAAAAATAAGTTTCTTTTGACACTTGTCTGCTTTGTCATTATTTTGAAGCGATAATATTTATTTATTTTTATTGGCAAATAAAGCTCTATATGCCTTTACTGTATCATACATATAGAAGGCTCTAATTTACTGGGATCTTGAGGCACAGCAACGTTTCCATTATCGGGAACGATCTACGATTCATCAATGAATATAATCACGATACTTGCAGAGAATTCATTGGAGAGAATCTTAAGAGACAAATGGTTGAAAACAGTCAGACTTACCGACTACTTTTTTGACAAATTCCAGAATATCCAAAAATAGCTTCATAAATCAGGTAAACTATAAACATTAGACATGAAATTCAATCACATTCTGACTATTGTCTGCAATCAAGGCTCATCACACTTAGATTACATATGGCCAAGATGGTTCTACTCTCGATTTCATCGGGACCAAAAACGACGAGATATGAAACCAACTGACGAGAAAACATTCAAGTGTACACTCGGCTTCATATAAAAACCATTCACACGAACAGTTTATGTTCTAATGGAAATAATACTGAAAAAAAAGTTCAATGTCTAGTATAATCTAGTTATCATTAAGTTCACTCTACAAAATAATCACTAAAAATTTTTTACCATTACTTTCAAGTGCAAGGAACGTCTATGGGCACAAAACATTTCGAAGCTTTTCATAGTTCACCAATGCCTACTTACGAGCAAAATATATATTCTTAAAATGATGTGGACACTTAATTGACTTTTGAATTAATTCATTTTTGATTGCTTGTTAAATAAAACTTCATAAATACTAAACAATAATTTTTAATTAAGTTTCATTTGTTCTGTTTGATAGGCATTAGCACAAGGTGCATTGCCTCAAAATGCAGTGCGTAGTTGGAAAAAATTATTAGATTTGTCAAGTGAAGCTTGGCATGGTATTGGTGACACATCGACAGATGTAAATGATAATATTTATTTTAAATTATTATTATTCTGTTTTCTTTTTGTTTTATTGATATAGATAAATTGGTATTCAAAAAGACTTGTACTTGCTGCTATTTATCAAAGTGCAGAAATTTACATGATTCAAGATCAATCTCAAAATAAAACGGATACAATGAACTTTTTAGAAAGACGTTTAAATGATTTTAAAACGCTTGGTTCATTTCGAGATACGGTAAAACATTTTTGTTGCTTTTTTTTTTTTTATCATGTTCCAAACGAAATTTGAATTTAGGTATCAAACTCTCTATCGGATACAACCCAAATAGCCACTGGAATTTTTTCAGTGGTATATAAATTAAATCTTATTCTTATAATCAGTTATTTTATCTTATTTTTTAGATTCGTAATTTAACTTCTCGTCGTTAAATTAGACCTGTATTGTATATTTTTTTGTTTGTTTTTATTTCAGCAAGATATTCATTATTCTTTATCACGCATGAATAAAAAACACGAAATAAATAAAACTCATAAAAAATAAATCTTTTTTTTTTTTTCATAAAAGTTCCGATAATAGTAATACAAAACAAAAACAAGAATTAGGATGAATCATCATTCGAATAACCATCATGTTGAAACTTTATCTAATGAAAAAAAACGAAGTTTTTTTTTTTTTGCTATTCATAGAAAAATAACTTACATCAGTATCACTGTCGTTTATTTCTTCATTTTCATTTTCATCTTCATTATCATCATTTTCAATACCAAGATCAAGATCATCAGATAAACCAGAATAATCATCATATTCAGATGGACTTGGTATAAGTTCATCTTGAGTTTGATCACCATCAATATCTTCATCGGATACATCTTTAAAAAGAAAACAAAATTAAAATTAAATTTCTAATTGAAGAAATTTACCATCAAAAATTAACGATGGTTGTGTTGAGAGTTTATCGTTATTATTTGATAAATCTTTGTTATGATTATTAATCTAGATGGAAAAATTTAATGAAATCAAACATAATAATCATTTAAAGTACTCGAAATTCTGATATACAGCAAAATAAAACCAAACGATTCGATTATCGAATATTCTTTCTACTCTGTAGACTTTATTTACGCTTTGTGAAACATCATCTGAAAGGAGTATTGAAGTATCTAGAGTAGTAATTTGCACACTCACTTCTAATGATAAGCCGAACCAATCGTTATTGGTCCAATTTTGGTAAAACAAATTTGGTCTTGATTTCGCGCTTAGTAATACATGTACTAGCAAAAAAATGCGATATCATTTTCTTGCAGTGTGTATGAGCTCCAGATATCTTGCACGATTCACATCACCTCTAAGCTTTGTTGTTGACGTTGAAAAAAGGATTAATATTACTATCGAAATTGTAACAGATAATATTGAAGTAATCGTTACTGAATAATTATCGTATAAACTTTTAGAACACACGAGTCGTGACAATATGACATTTAACGGAAGTTTTATGCAACCATACATGATGTTACTTTCAATAAAAAGGGGTTGATGAAAGTTTCGTAAACCTTTTGACAGTTTATGATAGTGTAATAAACTAATCAAGGAATTCTTATATTTACTGTGGTCACAAACATGAGAAACATCTTAGTAACGACATGTGACAGATATTATTGATAAGTAATCATAGGTTCTATGTTTATAGAATCTCCACATAATGTATCATGTACTGTCGTATTGCATTTCTAGGAGGATGAAATGAAAAGATGATGAAGAAATGTGTAGCAAAATAGATAGAATAAACAATCTCTTTTGCATTAACAACTTGTTTTATAGACATCAGGATTATTAACATTTTATCAAACGGATGGATCGGAAATGTTGAAAGAAAAAGTGTTCGTTCATTTTTTGACCGATTAACATGATCAACAGAAGATATAAAATATTGATTTAAAATCAGAAATTTATGCTCTATCTGCATGTAGATTCAAAATTTTTATTAGACTCTTATGTTTGAAGTTATGAGAAAAATCTTTGAAAATACGAACATAGTCCATTTGAAATTATTCCAATCATATTTCTTAGTAATTTCATGTATTTGGCGTAGACATATCGATTTGTTAAAGTCTCATTTTCTTTCATTGAATGATATTATGCTTTGAAAACATTTTGGGTCAATACCTAGAGAATAGATGTTCTTTTTTTGCAAGTGATATCCACTTTTGCATATGTTCTTACAGTGATGTTTTGCACCGCATGGCGTGCGAGATCGTGCTCCACAGAATATGTTAAGAACCGAGGTTCTCGAAGTAATTCTCCAAATATAAGCAAGCGCATATTGTGAGTCTGAAAAACAAGGAATTGTGAATATGTTACTTATTTGAAAAAAGATGAGTAATAAAAATTCTGACAGATTTCTGATTTTAAATGAATAGTTTATATTTTCTGTTGATCATCTTAATAGGTCGAAAAATGAAGAAATATTTTAATCTCAAAAATCTTCTACTCATCCATTGATCTAATTATAAATAAAATAATGATTATTATTCAAGCAATTTTTTTAGCAAGAAATGACTAGAAATTAAACGATATATTGCTAAAATTACCTTAATCATGTTTAGTTTTTTTCATCGAATAATGAAAAAAACACAAACCAAAAATAAATTAAAATCGATTTCGAATATTCAAAGGTACAGAAAATTTTCTCTTTATATCGATAGTCTGATTAGTGTTACATATTTCATAAATTTTTAGTCATGACACAGATCATTAATAAGGTAATGAACTTGTCTGATATTTTCAGACGTTATCTCAGTTACAAATCTATCAAGTAACTCGTGCTTCGTATGGATAGTCGCGAAATTAGTTAGATCATCTTTCCTCAAATGTAAAATCTAGTTATATCGAAGCCATCATTTTTTTTTATCTGTTTAAAACAAAAATGAATAACTTTCATCGAAATTTTATTATTAACATATCAACTGACGTATAATGAAATATAGACTACTATTTGCACTATTAGTATATATAAAGAAAAATTCTCCTTGAACTTTCGATATGATATAATAATGTTACATCATTATTTTTTAGAGGTTGTTATGCTTTTATCTATAATAAACTCGAAAAGGATAGTCCTATTCAAATAATTAGTTTATCTATTTTTTAATATATCTTAACTAAAAGTTAAAGCTTATCTTTCATAAGCAAAGTATTTTTTTCATCATCGATTGGTTATGCTTGATTTATTTTCATTTGCTCGATGATGAGTATATCATTTGAAACAATATCCAATTGCTTTTTATTTTTATTTAAAATTACTCATCGGTATATTCAAATGATCTATACAGTATGCTCTTGACGTCAATAGATATTAACAATCGAAATTATATATATATATATGTATATTACTTGTGAAGCGATAAGTAATACTTTTCCATGAAGTCGAGCTAATTTTGGATAAATTTTTGTCTGTGATTCAATAAGTTCATACATTGGACCAAGACGTTCCATGATATCAGGATACTAAAAAGTTTTTTTTTTTTTTTTATATGTATAAATATTTTCGTTTTTGTTTACTGTCATAAGGTACGATGAATGAGTATTTAATAAAGCTCGTAACCATTTCGATGCAATGTAACCTCTAAAATAATAATTATATCTTTTTCTTTAATTTTGAAAATTATATTTTTATTACTTTTCTGCACTTTGATAAAGATACTTGTTTAAACAATCAATTAATGGTAAAAGAATTGAATTAGGAATTATTCGTACTGTTGTTTCGATAATTTTATCATTTCGACGACATAGTACTTCCTAAGAAGAAAAAAAGGTGATTCATTGTATCTACGTTCTTTCTTTATTTCCATCCTTGATATATAAAAAAAAAGGATCAATCAAGCGTGTAATCATACATATGATTAAGCAAAATACTTTGATACAAATAATAAACACATATATAAGAAAAAAAGGATCTTTTTCTTTTTGTTTAGATTTTTTTATTTCAATGGGTCAATCACATTCAGCTAAATTTAATAAATTATTTACATTAATATGTACAGATAATAGTGAAGAATTACAACAACAATTACGTTCATGTTCATCACCAGAACAAACAGCTAATTTATCAAATCTAAGTGATATTGATGAAGGAGTAACATTATTAATGTATGCTGCATTTTATGGAAATAAAACAATATGTCAATTATTAATAGAATCAGGTGCATATGTATTTCGTCGAGATAATAAAGGACGAAATGTTCTTTATCATGCTATTACTAGTCAATCATATCATGTTGTAAAATATTTAATTGAAAATATTATGACGAATGCTGATAATGATGTACGAGAGAAGTTTATTAATAATCAAGATATTATGGGAGAAACGTGCTTACATGAAGCTGTTAAAGTTCATGCTGTATCATGTATAGAATTACTTCTTAAATATGATATCGATGTAAATATTGTTAATAATGATGGTATTACTGCTCTTCATCGTGCTGTTGATCTTGGTAAGTTATAGTTTAAACCAAAAATAGGTAAAAGAAATGTATCGAATTTTTTTTTTTTTTTGATTTACAAAAGGTCATCAAGATATTGTTCGTCTTTTATTAAAATATAAAATTGAATTAAATACAAAAGATGCATCTGGTTGGACACCATTACATGTTGCATCAGCACATAATGATATTGAACTTGTGCGTTTACTTGTAAGTCGTGGTGCAAATCTTAATGCAACTGATTATCAAGGACATTCACCACTTAAATGGGCACGTGAAACAGGTTCAAGAGATGTATTTACATATCTTAAAGCTCAAGGTGCAAAAGAATATGATTCATCACAAATACAACAGCAACAACAACAACAACAACAACGTTCAAGTATAAAAAAGAATAGTTTATCACCGATTTAAAATATTAATATTTAAAAAAAACAACATAAAGTGAGAATTCGTTGTAAGATGACAGAAATTAAAAATTTCCACAAATTTTTTTTCGCGTTTATTTTTGTTTAATTCGGTAGAACGCATCGAGTTGATAATTTTTTCAACGAAAGGCTCGCAAGAAAGTTTGAAACAAAGGCCAAGTTTCAACAGAAAGCAATTTTCGACAACATATTAATGAAAACTTTTTTCTTTTCTTTTTATCGAACTATTTAAAGATTTGTTATGATTTTCTATAAACAAGTTCTGTGTTAAAGAATCCAGTTTTAAAAAATCTTCACTGTTGCGTTACCAAAAAAATATCTTTTCCACTAAAATAGTTGGCAACCCAGTGTACTCTATCCAAATGTGCAAAAGAAAGATAGTCAAAAAAAAATGTGAAAGTTTTGAATTTCTGTCACATGACAAACTATTGTTTTGTTCACTTACATCAAGTACATTTGAATCATTATTTTGTAATCCTTGTGTGAGTAATAGAGCAAGATTATCAGTTGATGAATTTTGTTGTTGTTGCTCAATATTTATTGAATTAATTGATGTTGGAGTATTTTGTGAAGTTTGATCTTTAGAAATAGATGTCTGAAAACAGTAATAAAATAGATTTGATTTTTTTAAAAATATATAGAATAACAAACTTCATCTGGTAAGATTTTTTTTATTCGTTTTTTCTTTTTATTTGTACTTTTTAGAACAATATCATTTGATTTTAAAGTTTTTTTTTTCTATAAAGTAAAATTATTAAAAGAAAAGAAATACGTTCAATAAAAAGAAAAAACAAACTTTTCTAATTTGTTGATCATTAGCAGTGGCAGAAGTAACAACTATAGATGAACGTTTGGAAGATTTATTAGGTGTCATTTTATTGACAGAAAAATAAATTTTAAAGGATGCGAAGGATAATAAAATTTACGCAATTTCGCTATTTACACAGTTTTACTTCTACTTTGCTATAGAAATAGCAAATAACCAATCATATGTCAAGGAAATAGAGGACATGCATAAAAGGAATACTAAAGCATGGATTTGCGGGTTTTCTTAAAGACAGTTTGTTAACAATAACATACTTGAACTTTTGCGCCGCATTCGTGCATGCCAACATTGATGATCCTAGATTTGAAAGATTATTCTAATCTACTTCTTCAAGAAATAGACATAGAATCCATGCGAGGATCTCAAGACTGGGGGAGGGGGAGGAGTGATAGGGAGGTATATAAGAAAATGTTTTATAGACGTAGTAAACAATTTCTACAAATTTTAGTAGTTTTATTGGGTACTAATGAATAGTTTTTAATTGTTGACAAAGGGACGATGCCAATTCTCTCAGTATTGGCGACCTCTATTATTTTTTTGTAACTTTCCAAACTTTTATAACAATAAAAAAAGAAACTATGTGCTAATCGCACAAGAAAGTGAATGAATCAAGTGATTTATTGGTCAGTAATTATCTATTATATATACTTATTGCAAACCAAAGGTAATGATGTCGACATTATAATAGTTTACATAAGGGTGGAGGAAACTCTTTTTCTATACGGTCTCCCTAGAGAATATACTGAGTTAAGGGTACCCAAAAAAGTACCCTGATACCAGTATGTCACAGGAACTTTTGGGTACCAAAGTACTTTCAGGTACTTACAGGTACCTAAGTGGTACTTTGGCAAGTACCCTGCTGGAAAATACATAGTAAGTGGGTACCTAAAGGTACTGATCAAGTACTGAATTGGGTACCACTGTATAGTATTTTTAAGTGCCCTGTTACNGCTGCTCTTCAACACACGCTTATATATAACAGAAAAACAAAGAGAGACAGAGAAAGAGACGACACACAGACAACAATAGAGAGAGGAAGAGGAAAGAAGAAGAGCAGCGAGCCGTAACGCAAATATCGGCACAAATTGGTTTAAATATAATTTACTCAACAACATTTTAAATCTTAAACTCATGTTTCGATGATGATGTCACACTTTATGCTTATAAGAAACTCAAATGGCCTTATTATATTTCACTTAACAATATCTAAATCTCAATTTATATTATTTTTCGTTCTGACGATGGTCCTATAAACAAATCAAACATTTACCAAATGCAATAAATAATTTAAACAAAGAATTAAGAAATAAAAAGTAAAATATCCTCTTGATTATGACTCTTCGTCTAAAAATACAACAGAAGAGAAGGAAGAAACCTGCCATTGAAAAAATAATGCTAGTAAAAAATAAAAAATAAAAATAAGATTTCAATAGTCGATATCACATATTCTTAGTATATGTTGCTCAGCCAATAGCTGTAATTATAGTATTAAAAATTTGTGTTCACATTTATAAATATTCAATGTAAATTTAATAATAAACAAACAATCTTGAACATGCCTTAGCAAGCTTTTAAACAAATAAAGTGAACTAAGCGATTCCAATTTTAACTAGATTTCAGAATCAACTGTAAAATCTATTTGTCAAAATGTAGTATATCATTTCCTGTTTCTATTTATTTGAATTCAATATTTTTAGAATTTGTGTGGACGCCATAACCCGATGTACATGATTGTCCAAAAACTTTTGTCCAAAGAAAATTGAATTCTTCGAATTAGTATATGTTCAGTTCCATTATAGTTCAACACGGAGCGCTAAAATTTGCTATGGATATCGTATAGATGCCAGCTCTACTTTTGACAAAAATCATCTCTCAAACAACAACATTACGACGGAGCTATATAAAAACAAAGTCGTTCAAAAATATTGTTCAGAGTTATATTTATTTTAAAAATACCATCAAAGCGTGATACCTACAAAGTAGTAAGCTAAAGGTCGAAGTCATTTCAATGTATTCATAACCCATTAGAGTCTACAAAATGGATATAATTTCGACTTGGAAACTATTGAATAGCTAGAAGATTTTTCCTTGTTGGCAGTGGGCACGGATGTGCAGAGTATTAGAGATCAAGGAAAAAACTCTAATATGTAAAAATTTATCAAAAGCAGGCTAATCGTTTTATAAAATAATATCAAACTAGAAAGAACGCAACAATTGACTTCTTCCTCCTTATAAGCAGTATCCTTTACCATAAAGAACAAGCGTCTGCATTTGATAGTTTCAATTATTCGTTTTAGTTGCAACCACTTTATGAAAACTGAATCTTTCTTGTTATCAGAATACGCACGTCATCTTCCTTGAGTCAATATCAACAGGACACTGTCAGAAGATCATTCTAGATAAAAAAATAATTCTTATCTTTCGCTTATAAGGTAAAGCCTTTTTCTTTGCTGAGATCTTCTATATAATAGAAGAAATTGTGGTTTATTTTTCATATTCTTTTCTATTACTTATCTACAATGCTAAGTGTTAATGTTATTCTTTTTTCTGCAACATTCATATTTATATTTGGTATAAAATTCTGTAATGCAACAGTGTCGTGTGCAACTTGTCAATCGATTTCTTTTAATCTAACGACTGATACAGATTTAAATACTGATGGATGCACATTGGAAGAAAAAGAAGTGTGTTCACTTATATTACGTGTTGATTATACAAATAGCAACAATAGTTTTGCCCTTATCGATGGTTCTCAAGAAGAAGTATTAATTTTGACGAATGGTGATCCTCAAGTCAGTGAAGAAACATTCATTTGGTTTAATCAACTACGTGTTCAACGTATGGCAAATATATTATGTTTTGCTGGAACCAGTTGCGGATTAGATCTTATCAAACAAATATATCGAGATCAATGTAAGTTGATTTGAAAAAACACAGAATAAAACATGAAGTCGAATATTTTCTTTTTCATTGTTTAGTTCGTTCTTTTGACTACAGAACAATTCAAAATAAATTAGTTAATCTATTATATTCATCAACTCCAAGTTCAGACTTAACATGTGCAGATTCAACAGGTTCAGCTATTCCATGTAAAGATGGATTTTGTCGATTAATTTCAGCTGGAAATAAAGCAATGCAATATTCAACTTGTGTGAAGAAAGGAGCATTGCCTAACCCATATGGTATAACAGTAATCAAATCAACTCTGACCGATATATTTGGAGAACAAATTTCTATTATTTTTACATGTAACAAACCAATGTGCAATTCAGCAGAAAATGCAGAAGAAGTTTATCAACTATTAGCTTCAGCCAACATTATTCCAGGAGCTACTACAACAACACAAACAGCTTCAACAACAACACAAACAGCTTCAACAACAACACAAACAGCTCCAACAACAACACAAACAGCTCCAACAACAACACAAACAGCTCCAACAACATCAACAGTAGCAACAACAACACGAAATGCTAGCATTAAAATACTAAATAATAAACAAATATTATTAATTTCTTTTTTATTTTTATATGCTATGTTTAAATTTTGAAAATGATTCAAGAAAAAACTCTTCATATATAAGATGACTCGCTTATATAGTACAATGTAAAATTTATAACAAAAAAGTTCATCTACGCGAAGAAACCTATTGATTAGGGTGTGGGTAGCTACAAGATAAACATCCACCCATTAGCATGTGCGCAGAACAATTAGTGCTAAAATTTGGTATATTTTGATGTTAGATTATCATAAAAGTATATAAAAATATGAAACGAAAAACATATCGATGCAAAAAATAGTTTTGAAAATTGTCTTTGATCCTAGTGAGTGCTATACAGATAGGTATCTTGGCATTCGCTTTTTCTAATGCTGAAACTCTAAGTCGAATAGGCTTAACAGATTAAAATTTATTTAAAAAGTCTCCGCGTCCATTTAATTCTGAAATGGACGCTGGTTATCAAGTTGATTTAAAATGTGTATGAAAATGTTTAAATAGATATAACGCGGCTTGTCCACGTAACGCGACACTTCGCTGATCAAGTTTCGAAAAAATTATTCTTCGAGTTGGATAGATCTGAATGAGTTACTAGATACAGTTTTTAACGATGATTACGAATTTGACATCTGTTTTCTACAAAAATTAGATTTTGTCATTGAAACCTGGCTTTTAAAATTTTCAAAAATCGTATTTTGGATTTTCTAACCAAGAATTTTTTCCAAAAAAAGCCAAGGAACATACCATTGAATGCAGTATTTCATTCTCTATAAAATGGTCTACTTAGTTTTGACTTTCGTGGCTAAGGACAATTTGTAGACTCTTATACAGTTTCCAACTTACTGTGTCTCTTGTGAGCTACTATGTCAAGGTATCGATCTCGTTCTTGTGTAGAACGATTATTTATACAGAAAAGACTAATACTTAGAAAAATCAAATCGTTCTGACCATGTTAAGTGCTTCAAAATTGGTCCACAAAAAGCTGTGTCACAGCGTTACGTTGGTTTTTTGCAGTTTTTTACCTAAGCCAAAAATAGTTTAGAGGAAAATGTTTTTAGCCTTTAAAAACCCGTTCAAAGCTCTACAAAACTGACTCTAGAAGTGTTTCATTTGGAGAAATATTTTCACAAGAAATTGCAGTTTTATTAGCGACTCTGAAGAAAAAGGTCTTTTTATGTCACAGCGTTACGCGACCAAAACCTCTTTCTCGAAGTTCGAGACTATTACTGAAAAAAGTCATTTTTATGGCATCAAGAGAGTTTGACAAGTTGCGTCAAATGGCGTTTTAAATAAACTTTTTAGCTCTCATAGTTTCAGAGATAATGCAAAAAAAAAGTGTGTCAAAAACGTCACAGCATTACGTTTGGGCTAGCCGAACGATTATTTTTATGACGGTAGACTTTCAATAGCTGATTAGGGTGTGGTTGTGAGTAAAGTGAACAATTACACCCACATTCGCATTGTTCAATAATGTACTTTCACTGAAACATTTGTTTGCTTTTTTGATATATTTGTCATGATATCATCCAATAAAAATGTGAAAATAATAATATTTTTTGCTTAAAGTTTTCGTTCGTCATCTTGAAAGATGTATTCAGACAAAAAAAACTGTATTAAAAGAATAATTGACGAAAAAGCTTCATGAGTAATTGGAGAAATCGAAACTACAACTCAGATATCACAAATAATACCTTATCATCTAAAACTTGTTGCTTGTATGAATACCCATGAGAATTGATATCGATGTGAAAATAGATTCCTGTTTTGTTTTGATAACTCATGTCGTGAAAATCGCCGCGATTTTGGCGATTTCCTGAAGAATGAATGTAAAATCGTGATTAATCGGAATAGGTTGAAAAATCGACGATAAAATCAGATTTTATCGTGATACTGAAAAGAAAATCGATCAATCGTAATCGCTGAAAAATCGGAATGGTTAATTGCGACTAATCAGATTTTCTAAATAATCGGATGTAAATGTGTTGTTGAGTAATTAAAATTTTTATATAAATATTACAAAAAAATACAAATTCACTGCACTAGATTATGGCTTTAGACGTGCAAATATTGCACAATGAAAAAAAACTAATTAGTACATTTGATGTCAGTAGCATATCTTTCATTTGACTGCACAATCCAGACAAAGAGCAATGTTTCGCTCTTTCTTTTTATCCTTTAGGAAATAATACTTGAAAGTTTAATTTCACTCGCATCAGATATTTATGCTAATTTAAAGTATATGTGTCTATGTATAAATTCCCTCTATTGCACATAATTAAGTTTTTAGTCAAGGTTTAATGGCCATAATGCATTCAGGTACTAGAGCTTATAATAATCATATTTTGTTCGATCAACATAAAAGAATATTTAGCTTCATTTTAAACAGTCAAAACATAGTCAAAGCTATATGAAATTATGAAGTAAAGAAAGCTGATCTTAGTCAAATGTTTAGTTCTCTTTTAGATTCAAATTGTATTGTTTGATAAGACAGGATCTGAAGTATCAATATGAATTTTTAATCCTGGCAATATTGTAAGTAGAAATGTATTAAATTTCTTTCTAACCTTTATCTCTCTATTTTCAACTTTAGTAGCGGGGAAAAAATTAGTCTTCTGCACATTTTAGGTGATAAAGACAATACAAGTAAATTGTATTAAAGACTGTCGATTGAATATTCAAAGAAAGAAAAGAACGTCTTCATATTGATCCACCTTGTATTGATACAGATGATCGAGATAGAATCATTAGAGATAAATAATTTCAACTGCACTACGTAACTATTTTTGTTTCTACTATAGATTCTGTTCAAGCTGAATTTCGTTTAAGAGCTGATTTGCTGGTAACAATTTGGATACTGGTGCTAAAATTTATCAACTCTTAACAAAGAAACTTCAGGTAAAATTTCGAAAAAATGTAATTGAATCAGATAGTTTTTTTCTCGGTAGATCCTAAAATATGCTTCCACGTTTTTCTCTTCTAGATAATATTAATTTTGACAATGATTTTGAAAACGAATCAACATTATCGACATCATCATTACAAGAAAATTTCAGGATCTGAGAAATCGATGGACAGTTTTTAATGATTATTAAAATTAGAAAAAAATATATTGAGATTGGATATTCTTATTATTGAAGCTATTTTCATTACTATAATTAACTTTTGATTATGACATTTGGCACTGTGTTTCATATGCATATATAGATTTGACTTATATTATATTGCTTCCACTTGAATCTAGCATGACTGAACCAGGTTGTATAGTTTTCGTAGCATCGATATGCCATCTTTCTGTATCTCAATGGTTATTCATATCTTCTACATTTCTTTCTGCTACCTACAGTAGTGCGTAGGTATTCTAACATTCCCTTTTTTTCTGTTTTTTTTGTGGATCTTCATGAGAGAATTGTGTGAACAATGAAATGGTAATAATCTGATTTTTTCCGGTTTTCGCTTTTACTTTTACTTTAGACCTGATCAAAATGATAAATGATTTTAAATAAAAATAAATTTCAAAAATAGATCGAGTGAAAATAAATAAATAAAAGGACCCCGTCGGATAACTTAACTTATTCACTTACAAAAACAAAACACAGGGTTTTGTAGAGCTTGAAAAGTTGCATCTAATGGTATATAAATCAGTTTGGTTCCTATTCAATTTCAAGAATTTTTCCTATATGGAATATAAGTTGATATTATCAAATATTTAGATTCAAAGCATTACACTATCGTATGGAAATGATCGTTATCAGAATATAATAACAATTATTCTTTTACTTAGTTTTGTAATCGATGTGAAGCTAGCACGACGCGACGAGTTAGCACGACGAAGAAAAAAATTTGATTGGATATCAAGATCAACCAATCAAACAATTACAATAACGAAAAACACCACTTTGAGGGTTAGCGCAACCATAATGGCAGCACATAGCAACAAATATAAAATAAAACGAAACACAAACTGATAAAAATTCGTCCTTCCAGTAAATNGTCTGTGACGGGGAAATTACCTGTCTGTAACGGTCTGTGACGGGGAAATTACCTGTCTGTAACGGTCTGTGACGGGGGAATTACCTGTCTGTAACGGTCTGTGTGGGGGGGGGTCCAAATTTCTACCCCTAAACACTTCAACACTCCTTTCAGATCGTGTTTCACAAAAGCTATTATATTCAACTAAAGTTTCAATCGTTCTCACGATTTCATATTATTTTTATTTGCACTACCTGTTCATAATGAAAATACTGTACTTAAAATACACAAATTCGTTAGTTTAAAATGCTACAAAAGAAATTAGTCGAAATCTTGCTTGTTCTTTTGTCAGTGTAAGGTTATCTTTCGTAACTGTCTCGCAAAGATCATTTGTAACGTACCCGTGCTCAATTCATATTTATCGATTTGTTTTGTTCAGATTTCTCCCACTCTATAGTAGCCAAATGACAGTAAATTAGACGAGGTAATCTGAAATTAATTTTTCGAAGATCTAACTGTTGTTACCACATATTGAAGAATACTAACAGAATGAACAATTCGAATGCTGTATACAATGAATAAATTAACATTTGTTTATCTTACAGACGAATCGAGTGGGCATAAGAAAAATGTTGAAGATAATAGGCTCAAATTTCGGTAACGATGTGATGTGCTGAAGTGACCAAGGAAGTTAAATGGTTTAGTGGAAGCTTTGAAAATCTCTGACATGATATTCACGAACTTTATCTAACAAAGATACGTACAATCGCTAAGAAATCGAAAGAATACTGATCGATGTAATGCATTTCGTTCATCTTGACCAGGGTTGCCATATTCAAATGACTTCACACATTCCTCTACACGGAATAAGAATAAAATAATTTTAAAACAAATATCTATTATTTACTCATATCTTCAGTGATATATACAATTTCGTGTGGTGTTAATGTATTCAGTTGTTTTGAGTGTCACACATGTATCGTAGGAGTTCTTTGTTTTCTTCTATGCATTATTTCTTACACGCTATTATACATATGACTCTATTGTATTTTTTTTTTATTTATGAAAAAAGGAGCATTTTAATTTGGACGTCGAATAAATTTGGAAGTCACTGTTTATAACATGCTGCTATTTCAAATCAAATGTGATTTATCATCGGGCTTTCATTTTCGCATGTTGAATTCTAGTTCTCGTTATCAAACTTGATCACAACGAATATTGTGTCGTAATGAAACCATACACTTGATCATATGTTCGACACTAGCTTATCAAATCTGTTAGTTGTCAAGTATTTATCGACTTTCACACTATCGAATGATTTTATTTCTCTGTTTCTTGCTGTTCAACTGTAAAGTCTTAAGTAAAACACAAATTTTGATTGTTGTACATGTATGTGCCTACTCTACTCGATCGTATTAACTTCAGTAATTGGAATCAGTAATCGGTTGTGAATCTTGAATAAATTCGATTAATGTTCGAGTATCGCGACTATTAGCATGATCCAAATGGCAATAGTAGTTGACACGATCACTTTTATGTATGATTACTGATGGAAAACCTGATCGCATCAAAATTAAATTCATCACGAGACACGCTATTCATCCATTGCTGTCGATAAATGGATAAATGAGCACAAACTTGTAATGGACCCGTGCAGCGAATTCGATGGCATGCAGACTCCATGCATGTTCGACTGAATTAAGTCGTTTTGTATGCGTCCTGTATTAGAGCGTACTCGAACTCTTCACGTGCCTTGTCAAATTCGTAGACGAAAACAAGACTCAATTTCAAATTGAGACCTATCCCCATGTTTTCACATGAATTTGAACTATTTAATAATAAGTATGAAGGATGTGGATGTGGATCTTCTCTTCACCCACGCGCGCTTGCAGATCCTAAAATTACTGAATATGTGACGTTGTCTTAGTCCAATTTCAGGTGAAGCTTTAATTGTATTGGTTTGGCAGATGTAAATTTAGCATAAATCAGAAAAAATGAAACCTTGTATAAAATATTATATGAAAAATTATGTTAAACATGTAAAAAACTTTTTTCTTAGAGATTCAGTTCTGCAAATGTAATATTTGGTCAATGCATAGCAGAATCTGTGTTGGAGAAATATGAAAATATTTGAAGTAACTCTACAAATCGGTCAATAAAAATGCGATAATTTCTCTTTGGAAGTAGTTTTCTTTCGGTATTTATGGTATATAATAAAATACATTTCATCGTATTCTCAAAATGAACTTCTTTCAGGAAATCAGAAAGTCAAATTCATCAAAAAGATTTTGTGAATGTTATGCGTGCTACAAAATCAAAAACATTGCATTGCTTTCGTTACTTCTCCTTTCCATGACTTGTCTAAAAAGAATCTATTTAAATATCAGTTCTATTATCTCAAATTTCCTGTGTTTAAAACATTTTTAATATTATTTCTATGTGGTAGAAATTTCATTATTTTTATGTAAAACTTACCATATTTTGTTGGGCGTTCAACTTAATTTTCTGGAAGACGACACCAACTCTCCAAGTTAAAGTCATACGAAAATACAAAAAAATAAAAAAAGTGATATATTTAATTTGGGAGAAAATTCAAGCATCATTTTTATTTATGCTTGGCGACAGATCATTGGATATAATGAAATACGTATGTCTTGTCGTTTTTTAATAAATTACCAGTGTTGATCATACTGACTGCCATTCATATAGGAAAAATACTGACTCTTTTCACTGTCGTCCTTAGTAAATCATTCTTGTTTTTTTTTATCTTCCTGTACTTTCGCCTATATTTTTCCTTTTAATATTTTCAATATTCATATATCATAGTCACAGTTCAATGATTTTCAACCAGCGAACATAAAACTGATAATTATTTTTCTTCTCCTGTCGTTAATATAACTACTACGCATCTTCACGTTTGTGTATCCAAAATAAAAAGTGGCAAAATTTATGCCACTATATGTTTTTCTACGTGATACTCATAATCGCAACGCGTATGTCATTTAAGGTACACCAACCGACATACAATGGCCCAGTGTTCATCGAAAGTCGAAATGGTTTCAGAAATCTCTTCAAAAATGATAATAAGCTCAGCGTGTGAGCTTCAAAATCAGGTTATAATTGAACAGATATTTAGTTTAGCAGAACGAAGTAGAGAGAGAGATGTTCATTTTTTATTTTAGCTTGAATCATGTACAAACTCACTGTATTAGCTTCAAAATGATACTATGACTGAAGAGATTCTCCTGACAGAATTATTCGAATATCATGTTAGGTGTAATCATACTACGAACTAAGTGATAATAACTTCAAAATGCAAATATAAATGAAGAGATTCACGTTTGGTAAGAATTGACTTCTGGTTACCGAACACCAAATCTAAATGCAACCATTGAATTCATTTACATACATGGTGGTTTCATTTATTAACTAAACACTTGCTATTGGTATTAACATCTTGATGCTTTTTTTAATCTAGTGATTCTTCAATGTCCTAGAAATACACTACCAAACTGTCCCTTTTTTGAAATAATAACAGGAGAAATCTAATACAATAAGTAACTTTATGTATGTTATTCTATGATCGAGATCAATCTTAATGAGGCACAGCTCACAAAGACTTAATGAATATGATGATATATAACTTGAAATTATGGCTATGTACATCAGGCAAAATAAAACAAAATTTGCAAATTCAAAATCACGAATATTACGAAAATGCTTCAAGATTCATAGTGAATGTCGGCCAACATATGTACTTTTTACATTTCATCGATCAATATTAACTGTATTGTAAAAGTACAAGATTGAGTATATGTACTGCTGGCCAAATCAGAATTTTCGACTTGATCGTCTGAAGGCGTGTGTATCTAAAAGGTATAGGTTTTAGTCTTCTCTTCACTTACACCCACACTCACACCCTCAATCGATGGGCATTACATTTCTATCCTCACACTACAAAATCAATATAAAAGAGAAAAAATATAATGATCATTCATATCATATATTTGTTAAAATTTTTCTTATGTTATGCACTTAAAACGAATAATATAAAAACACATTTAGTGCACAAAACTTTTATTTATGAAAAGAGAAAAGCAACCATGCAAAAACTTCAAAAGAAAAGCTTATTTATTTGCTGCTATTTGTTGTTGAATTTTGGCTATAACTTCACGATGAATTTCTAATTTCTTTTCAGTATCTTTCATTAATGATGCTAAACGTTTTCTAAACGAAAGGAAAAAACAACAAGAATCAAGTTTTTATTACATAAAATGTGTTCTTACAATTCTCCTTCACAATAAACAAGTCGTTTTTCAACTGTTTCTTTGCCTTCACTTAATTCTTGTTTAACAAGTACAGGACCAACAAGTTTATAAATAACAGCATCAGAATCGAGATTGTCAAATTCCTATGTAAGAATCAATTGATAATTGTGAAAACTCAATTATTTTTTTTTTTACTTGTTTAACAAATTCATTTTCAGTTTTTGTTATAAATAATTGTTGTTGTTGTGTCACAAATTTTTTCATTTCTATTTTAGACAATTAATTAACAAAAGAAAACAGACGAGAGAAATTAAATGTTTTACCATTTTGTGTTTGTCGATATTTTTCAACTTCATCTTCAAGCTTTTTATTAAGATCAGGTGCCATTATTTTCTATCTAAAAATCAAACTAATACATCAATTAACTTATTCGAGCGAGTTTTTAAAATAAGACAGAGAAAACCAACATAATGTTATCTTCTTGAAAGTTTATACCATTCATATCATGTATAAAAAACTGCAAATAAATTTAGTTACCCTTTCTGATTCTCTAATTAAAATATAAATCTTTATATTTTGATACAATCACTAAATATAATCCAAAAAAAAAAAATAATGATTTAAATAAATACTTATCTATATGTTCATAAGCATCATTTATAAATATTTCATATCTGAAGAGATAAAACCAGATTAATCAGTGTCTTTTTTCAACACATACACACAAAATATTGAAAACATCAATCTTTTGTCTCAAAAATTTACATCATATACAAACAAAATAAAATAGAAAATAAAACACACTCCCACATAAAATATTTATTTTAAAAATTTAAATGTCTGATGAACTTTGAGTTGTAGTTGTTGTTGCTTGTGCAACTTGATTTTGTGCTTCATTATCTTCAACAAATTCTAATGCTTCGTCTCGTGTCACTGATCGAATTTGACTAACTTTATTTCGATAAGTTATACCATAAAATTTATCACCATATTTAAGTAAATCTGGACCAAAAGTTGTTATTATGAATTGAGCTTTTTGACTTAGCTCATTAATCAATTCTAAACAAATAAAATATTGAAGTAAGAAAAAAAAAAAAACTAAATGAATATGTTGAATATTTTACCAGCTACAGCATTTCGATATTGTGGATCAAGTGCTTGATCAATTTCATCAAATAAATAAAATGGTGCTGGATCACATTTTTGTATAGCAAAAATTAATGCTAACGCAACAAGTGATTTTTGACCACCAGATAATTGTTGCATATCACGCATTTCATTTGTTCGACCATTAAATGATACTTTAATACCAACACCTGTAAAGTCATCAACAGACATTTGTTGACTAGAACTTTGTGATGAAACTTGTTCACTGTCATAATCCTGAAAAGAAAATATTTTTAGAATTCGTTCTGTTTGTTTTTTATTTTCGAATATAAATAGATAGAACAAACTTCATTATCGCCTGTTTTTATAACTAAATGTGCTGTGCCTTCGGGTACAAGTCGTTTAAATACTTCAGTAAAATATAATGAAACTTGTTTGAAAGTAAATTGAATTGTTTCAAAACGTTTATTATCAAGACTTTCAATTAAATCAACAATATGCTAAATAGAGAAAAAAAATTGAATGTACTTTTTTTTTTTTCTTTGTTATGTAAATAATTCAAATAAAACATACACGATGTGCTTCATCGATTTCAGCTTTACGATTTATTAATTTATCACGTTCATCACTAAATTGTAGAAATTGATCAAGTGCTTTTTTATTAACATGAGCATATTTTTTTAATTCAATTAAGGCACGATCAAGATCACGTTGAAGCTAAACAAAATGAATTATATAAAAATATTTACTCATGAAAAAAGATATTTACTTGTTTAATTGGAATATCCTTATATTTGTCAAGACCATCCGGTGGTACACCAATATCATTTTGACGTTTTGTACTTTCGTCAAGCTGAAAAAAGAAAGTTTTAATTGATTAATTAACTCATGAATTAGATATGCACAGCGCAGGTTTAAAAATACGGATCGTTTCTAACCGAAAAACGGTAGAAACTTGAAATCAGAAATCCTAGTGTTGTCCAGATCAATGATTTCGAACTTCGGAAACTCATCGCATTCAACATGGATGCAATATTTCGAACCAGAACGTCTCCAGATTTTCTTCGGTATTTAAAGTAGTTTCCTACGAGAAAGAATATAAAATTGATTAACAATCACTGAAAAAATCTAGAGAGCTTCTGGTTCGGAATACTACTTCCAAGTTCCTAGAATTTTCCAGAGTTTTTTATGATACTCAACATGGTAGAATTCTATCATGGAATGTTTTTATTACAAAGTAAAATCTTTATGTGAATTTCGGTAAGCAATAAATATTTCTCAAAAAAAAAAAATACTAAGTTCTTCTGTTGAGATATTATCTAATCGTATGTAAAGTGACCAAGTACAAATGGCACTAAAGTTTATAGTTGAATGATTAATTTCTAGAATAATAATACCTTATTTTGTGCATTACGTAATTTAACTTCATATTTATCTGTATTTCGTTTTTCTTCATTACTATGTTCTTCAATATCTTTATTCGAATTCTAAATAAAAAGAATTCATTTGATTGTTTATAAATAAAATCTCATTATTTGATTTAACCTTTAATTGTTCAAGTTCTTTTTGTTTATTTTTTAATTCTTTATCTAAATTATTAATTATTCGATCAATAGCTACAAAAGAAATCAAAGATAAATATTTAAAAAAAAAAAGAAGATTTTATATAAAAAATATTTTAACCATCAGTTTGTTTTTCATGTTCATTAAGTTTATCAGATAGAATAGTATATTCACGTTCAAGATCTTCAATAACACTACGAACATTTTCTATATGCATTCGTTCAAGATCCTTTCAAAAGAAAAATATTCAAAATTTAAAATTGTTTTTTTTTTTCTTCTATTATTTATATGTCATACTGTATTAATTTGATTACGATTTTTTCGATAATTATTTGCAAGTTGGTGTTCAAGTTTTGTTTTTGTACCTTCAAGCTATTTGACATTTACAAAAAAAAACTATTTTTGAGTTATGTAAATTAATCAAATTTTACTTCAACACGTTTTTGAATAATTTCTTTTAATGCTTGAGTTATTTGTTCAATTGTATCATTAAGTTTATCAATTGTTGTTTGTTCATCAACAGTTAATTGTGAAACAAGATCACTACCAAGTTCGGATTGTAATGATTCTTCTTTAGCACAAAATTGTTCAATTGTTGCCAAAAGTGCATTTAATTGTCGTTCCTTTAATAAATATAAACAAAATGTAATTGATGATGAAAATTTTTATTCGATTATACCCTTATCTTTTGTTATAGATTCCCATTAAGACTTATGAAACTTATGTAAATCTTAACTTAGGATATATTCGCTACTAATGAGAGAAACGATTAAAAAAAAAGGGTTAGCTATCACGAGTTAATACAAATTTTATTAGCAAAATTTTGTTTTTCATAATTTACAAAAATGAGATGTTTATAAATAGAATATTATCCTGTATATCAGAAAACGACATAACTGTAACTATATGTAGAATGAACATAAATAATAGACGAACTATGCGAATGAGTTATGGCTCGACCTATCAACATCTCTAATAAAAAATGATTTATAGATTATTTTAAATTCTCAGATATTAGCATTAGAAACTTTCTCCGTAGTTATAAGGTTGATCTCTCATGATTTATATGAAATTCATTAATTATTACATGAACCTTATTCTACCATAAGAACAAACGAATTTTCGGTTGAGCAAACTTTGCTAACTATAAAAATGAATTAGGAACAATGTGTTCTTTTGAAAAGAGAATGCAAATTTGAAAAATATTTTATTCAATACATCATTACTTTTAATATAGGAAATAAAATATAAGATCAATTTACTTTTCCTGGTCGATGAGTAACGATTCGATCAAGTTCTGATTGAAGATATTTAGCATCAGATTTCATTTGTTCATAATTATCCCTAAAAATATCACATATTTTTCATTTTTTTTCTTTCAATGATATTATTCATTTATATTACCAATTCTTTTTTGATTTCATATCTTCACGTTGAAGTTCGGTCATTATATTATTATATTCAGTATCAATATTCATTATTTCATTACGAATTTTTTCATATTCTTTTTCATATTTATTTAATGTTGTACTTAATTGTTTTATTGTACGTTGTAATTCCATGCGTGATACTTTCTTATCAATAAATCCACCTGTTAATGCACCTCTACGCTGAACTTGATCACCTAGATAAACAATGAAGAAATTTGAGTAATTATTTTTTGTTTTAAAACAAAAACTTTTTACCATCGATTGTAACACAATCAACATCATATTGTCGAGCTGTACGTGTAGCAGAATTAAAATCTTCACAAAGCATTATACGATTAAATACATGTCGAACAGCTTTTTCGGCTTTTGCTACCCATTGAAGTTGATCAATTAATGGTGAAGCACTGGACATTTTTGGTAATTCACTATTTTGTATATCCAAGACATTTAATGGTAAAAAATGAATTTCACCACGTAGTCGAGCAGTATTAAATTCTTTTACTAATCGTGTAGCAATGACATCCGAATCAACAATATGATAATTAAGTCTAAGAATTCAAAGATAAAAGAAAAAAAGTTGTTAGTACAATCCCTGCGGAAGTAAAATGTGAAACACAATGTAGTTGCTGCTACTCATCACTAGAGGACTCTCTTCATTTTAGGATACATTTCTTCAATAAACTTTTACTTAATTATTCAGAAATGCCATAATATCTGTGGAGATCTAAATTTTTACCTCTATGCTTCAACACCCTTTGTAAGTCATATTTCACAAAAACGATATTAGAAATAAGAGAAAGTATTTGATGACTAACCGATTTCCAGCAATAACTTCGACGGCAGTATAAAAAGCTGGATCACATTCAAAATTTTCAATTAATGTACCATGATAACCATTTATAATATCTTGATGACGATTTTCATCAGCAAATTGACGAAGTAAACGTTGTAAACCATCGGCACCTGATGCTGCACCCTAAGAAAAATGTTTATTTAATAAAAAAAAGTAAAAATCAATGATTTTTATTTGTATTATACTTTGTTTATAATAGATCGAAGTGTATCTTGATATTTTCGTAATTCATCACGAGTTTGACTAATTTGAATATGTAATTGAGTTTCTTTTCGTGCTAATTCCCTATTAATTATTATTTATATATAGAATTCAAATTCAAATTTGATTATTTTTCTTCTATCTTACTTATCTGAAAGGAAAGAGTGTAGTGACAAACCTTTTATCGTTTATTTGTATTCTGCTATTCACATACACTATACATTTCTTAGATA